CCCTTTATTAATATTACTTTCATCATTTCCAATACATGATAAGGGTGTTTTAGTAAAAATATCATTCTCTCTCATTCATTTATTTATTTTTCTTAATCTGCGTAAAAAGTCAACTCGGTCACTCATTGTGGGACAGAGAAAATAATTCTAACGATATTATTAAAAGTCAAATACTAACTTTTTGAAATATACTATTAAATTGAAATAGATTCAACATTTTATAATTCAAATACACTTTTCAATATCTTTAGAGTTTTATTTTTATTTTTAAAAATGTTTAGCAATTTACACTCCACACTACAACACAAACACATCTTACCTCAGACAAGAATTGGATTGTACATCGGTTACACATGCAAGGTAACGAAAGGCGACACGAAAACTTGCCACTTTAACTCTCAGTTTGTGAATAACTGAGGGGGAAATTGAAATGGTCATGGGTTCCATCCATAGAGAATCCTTTTTGTAACTTTAAAATGGTGAAAACACATATCCCATCCGTTTTGAAATATAATTGACTGGTAAACAGGCTTGAATTTATTGTATCTAATATGGATTGCTTGTATCATTTAGCCCTAGCTGAACATATAACTTTTTAAATTGAACTACAAAATAATTATATGAACACTTATATTTGAAGAACAAATTACACTAATTAATGATTTGTGAGCATTTTGCAACTCATCATTCATCTCATATTCTTTAATGGTTAAAATCTCTCAAATGCTTCTTGTTTTTATTCAAATTTCTTCTATATTTTTTCAGTGAACATGTATGGAAGAAAGTTGAACGAAAACTAGAAGCGTTGGAGAAACTTTAATCATTAAAGAACGTGAGATGAACAATGAGTTGCATAATGCTCAGAAAATATTGATTAGTGTTAGATATTTTTCAAATACAACATAATTTTTCATATTATTATTTCCAAAAATAATTTAGTAGATTGTATATTCAAAAAGGGATTAGTAAAACAAACAATCGAAAATAGATATAATAAACTCAACTGTATTTTCTCTCACTATAATATCCTATTGACATGTTCATAGGAACAAGATGAGAACTACACAAAGAATCACAAAAAACATAATCTTAGTCTAAAACTTAAACTCAGACTCAATAACAACAACTAAACCATAAACATATAAATTTCAAAATTTTGTTAAGTATAAAAACTAGATAACAACAACTACAATAAGATCAACAACTCAAAGACAAAAATAAATAACAACAACATTAACACTATCTCAATCTAAACAACAACTAACATTAAGCAACAACTAAAAAAACAATCTCTCATTAAAAATACAACAACATCGACAATAAACCTATAACTTCAATCTCAATAAATCTATAACATATTTATCTCAACAGCAACAACAACAACAAATAACATCAATCTCAGTTTAAATAACAACAAGAACAACATGATTAAACATCTAATATTTCGGGTCTCAACAACAATAACAAACAACAACAACAATAACAACGTTAATGTGACATAAATAATGGCATTAATTATACTAGATATGTGAAGAAGAAGAAGTGAAGAAAAAGCAATAGAAGAAGAAGAAGAAGAATAAGCGAACAAGAGACCTAAACACATATCATCTTCGTATTTTCTTGATTTTTCAAGAGTTGGAGGATGATATGTGTTTAGAGCACTAGTTGTCTAGAGATTTTCGTTAGGGTTTTGTGAGTGATTTTTTTAGTATATGTTTGTTAGTATATAGCAGAGTAAATAATTTCACCTCGTTGATAAACAAAATCGATGCGAAAAGTGGAATATTTTTGGATTAAAAACATAAATTGAAGTTGCTGAGATTCAAAGTCTGTACCCTGAACTAATTTACCCCTCAGGTTTTTAGAAAAAATCGATAGGTAAACTAATTTGAAGAATAAACTGAAGTTGCGTGAGAACCTGAATTAGTTTATCCCTCGGGTTTTCTAGAAAACCTAAGGAATATTTTGTTCGTTTTAAAATATAAATTTATGTGTTTGGTTCATATTTTAAAAAGGAGAGGATAGGTAGATGGAGGGGACCAAAATCTCTGCTAAACCACTTTTTGCTTCTCTCGGATTTGGAGGGATTTGAAAGGAATGGGAGGTGTTTGATTTTAGTTATAATTATATTTACATATTTACCCTTATTATTATTTAAATATAAATTTAACTTATAACAATGTTAAAAGTTTTATTTTGAACAAATTCAATCTTTCTTTTTATATTTTTTGTATTTTTATATCTTCATCTTACTATCATTATATCTGATTAAATTTTTGTTATTTTATTTTTTATATTTTAATGTTAATTTTTAATTATCGTAATGTTTTTGTTTATGATAATAGGGGGACCAAAACTGTAATTTAGCCAATTATATATTATAATCGTTATGTTTTTATAAAATATTTCATGATGATAACTAATTGAATATTTGTATTTCGTCAATAAATTTGTATTTGAATTATAAACGGTAAATATCATAAGTCTTATGGTAAAAGTAGAAAGATAAAAAAGTAAATTAAATTTAAAATACCTCCCCTTACATTGTGAACCAAACATATTTGTAAATAAAATGTCTCCCCTCCCCTCCCCTTTCATATTTTGAACAAAACATATATGTAATTAAAATCTCTTCCCTCATCTCCCCTCGATTGAATCAAACATACCCTAACCCCACGATTGACAAAATAACATAAAATCTTCATATTTGTTGACGTGACATGTCCATGTGGTTTTTTATTTTATTTTTAAAATTTCACGTGGTCCAAAATAATATATATATATATATATATATATATATATATATATATATATATATATATATATATATATATATATATATATATATATATATATATATATATATATATATATATATATATATATATATATATATATATATATATATATATATATATATATATTACCGAGTTTTGATTTACCTCTTCGTAGTAAAAAAATATTTTTTTGAATTTTTTTAAAATTTAAATTATAAAAAAAAAATCACGTGAATTTTAAAAAATAAATAAAAGTTAAAAGAAAAGTCACCTGAACAGGCCACGTCAGTAAACATGAAGATTTCATGCTATTTTGTTAATTGAGGGGTCAAAGACACGTACGTAATCTTTACATTATAAAAGGGTGAATAAAAAAAATTATTACAAGAGAGTAAATTGAATGTCACTAACATTAAAAAGAGTAATATATATTTAACTCTTACATTTCCCTTTGCATTTCATATATATTACCTTTAAATAAAAAAGACTTCATCACACACGGTCTCTCAAACACACAAACATAACTTCATCTAAATTATCAACTAACTCATCCATGTTCTCACAAATCCAATGACTAAATATTCATTTGTGATAGTTTTGACACACTCTACAATTAATATTAAAAATATCATAAGCAACATTGTTGAGTTTGTCAAATCAAATAATCATTAATATTATGGTATTGACCATATTATTATAAATTGTTCAATGTACATTTCTGGTATGACTATTAAAAATTCTAATAGTTATTAATAGTAATGGAATTGTTCGAGTTTATTTATGGCATGAAACAACTCGAAGTATGGGTTTCACTTATTGATTCGTTTCAAAAAACACCACACGACCATCATAGTAACCAATTCTTAATCTTTACTATGCATTACAATCTATGTTTGAAAATGAATATTTTGAAATCAAAAGTAGTGAAGTGGAATTAAGCATAGTGCAATGAAGACTTAATTATATTATTTTAAAAATTGAAAGAAAATCTTAAGACGAAACAAAACAAATTATCTATTTCCTTTAAAAAAAAGAAAGAAATATAATGATAATTAATAAGATGAAATGTAATTCATACACGTTTATTCCATCCGATTTTAAACAATTTAGACAATAAAATACCACGTATGTTTGCTTCATTGGATTCTATAGATTCAAACAAAACCATAGGGTTATCATATAACATTAGAGCTGGCAAAACGGGCTACCCGGCCCGTGACGGGCTGGCTCATGACGGGCTCGGGCTTTGTTCGGGTCGGGCTAAAAAGTCCGAATTATAAACGGGCCACAATTTGATTGACTAAGCCCGGGCTTTCACGGGTTACGGTTTTTCGGGTCGGTCCGGTTTATATTTATAATTTTGTTTTTTAAAAATTAAAAAGTGAGTGTTTTATTTAAAAAATAATATAATACTATTAGTATATTGTACACACCATACTCTAATTTTATTATAACGTCAAATTACAACAGTATAAAATTTCACATAGAAAATGCATCAGTATGACATTTCATTTCACTTAGAAAATGATAATAATGTTGTACACACCAAAATATAATTTATAACATTTCTCTTGGTGTATTGTTTGTCTTTTTTCATTTGAACAAGGATTCAAAATAAAGTAAAATTCTCAATGTTAACATAAAGTTTTACAAATTAAATTAACAATAAAGTCTAAAATTCATTAAAAAAACTAAGCGGACTACCCGCTATCCGATTGGGCTAGCCCGGTTAAACATCGGGCTTTTAACTATTCGAACTTAAAAGCCCGAATAATAAATGAGCCTTATTTTTTGTTCAAGCTCGGATTTTTTAGCGGACTTTCGGGCTGATCCGGCCCATTTTACCGGCTCTATATAACATGATACTATTATGTGTTAACAATTGGGAGTAATCAATTTATTTATTGATTTAGTGAGTAATCACAAAAATTAGATGCAAGGAGAAGAAGAAGATAAAAATAAAAATATCTTACAATAAAACGGTATTTGTGTGGACTGAGCGAAACAGGATATCCCATTTGCATTGCTGCTGTGTTTGTTATCTGTCCTTCTTTGGCCTCTCTCCCTCTCCCGCTCTCGACACACACTCTCTCTCTCACTCTCTTCCCATAACCGCAAAAACCACTCCTCAATTTTCCGATTCCCCTTTTCCTCCAAAACCTATCATCATTTCAAAAACTTTCATGGAATTCAATCTTCAATGAGATTCCTCATCTTCAAACCATGGCATCTACTACTCCTTCCATGTCAGGTACTAAAACCCTCGTCTCCGATATTTTCCGTGCATGTCTTTTCGTTTTCAATGTAATGTTCAAAACTATCACTCAACTTAACGCGCGCAACTTGATTCTTCGGTACGCAATCAATCGGAGCGTGTTCAATTTTGAATTATTTGGTTTGTTGATTATCGGTGTTAAGTAGTTCTTTTGTTTTTGAAGATGAAACGTTGGAAATGTTCATGTTTTTTTGTTTTTGTGTGCAGTTTCTTTGGAGTGTGTGAACGTGTGTAATTCCTGGAGAGGGGATGGAAATGGAAGACATGATTGTAGTTATCAATCGTGTGCGTGGAAATCTCCTAGGGTTCTTACTGGATTTCTTGCCGGTACGGCGGCTCGTCCTCATCACTACTTGTTGAATTGTCGAAATGAAAGAAGGAATGGATATGGTTTTGTAAGTTTTGCAGTTTCCTTGGAGTTTTTGGCATTTCTTTTTTTGTGATGTTGTTTTCAATTTTTACTTATATAAATACTATACTACACTAACATAAACGCGGAAAATTGGGGTCAGATCGTTATTTTAGTAGGAAAATGTTAATTAGTTAGTGTTTAGGTTAGTTATCAGGATTCCAACCCTGGACTTGGAGCATTGTTGCAGTTATTTTTGTAGGAAAATGTTAATTAGTTAGTGTTTATGTTAGTTTTCAATATTCGAACCCTGGACTCGGAGCGTTATTGCTGTTATTTTTGTAGGAAAATGTTCATTAGTTAGTGTTTAAGTTAGTTATCAAGATTGAACCCTGGACTCGGAGCGTTATTGCAGTTATTTTTGTAGGAAAATGTTAATTAGTTAGTGTTTATGTTAGTTTTCATTATTCGAACCCTGGACCTCTTGGTTAGAGCTTAACACTCGTGTCGTTAACACACCAACTTAGCTGTCTCTTTGGGGCGGTCCTTATTGCCTTTATGTTCGTATTATGTCAAATTCTATGTTCTAATATTGCTTTAGTTTTTTGTTTTGATATTGTCATTGTTAATAACTAGGTTACTATCAATCTTGCAAATTTGCAGGCATGTGAAGCCTTTAGTGTATTAGGTTCATATTCCGATGAAGCACTTGGCATCACACCTCGCGATGGATTCTCTAGATCTATCGTTTCTAGATTTGCTCCTAGAAAATGGAAATTGTCTTGTTCTTCGGCTTTTTCTTTGTATACTGCCAGCGAGTTTTCCCCTAGGAGCTTGTGGGAGGTACAATCCTGAACGTTATGAATCTAAGACATGTATTGTTGATTATGGTTCTGCAAATGAGGACGTCCTTTTTGTTTGTGTCTGAGTTAATATTATACATTTTCTAATTGCAACAGGATCTTAAGCCCGTGATCTCGTATCTTCCTCCTAAAGAACTAGAGTTAGTCTATAATGCTTTTATGGTAAGCTGACTACCTTAACAAAGCAATCTTAATATACTTGTTTGGGCAATACTATCTCGTCGATATAGTAGAAAATTACCTTTTTATTTTGTTTCTGTTTTGTTACTGGTTGTTACAGTTGGCATTTAAAGCTCATGATGGTCAGAAAAGGCGCAGCGGTGAACCCTTCATCATTCATCCAGTTGAGGTTGCACGAATTCTTGGAGAACTTGTGAGTTTTTAAGAAATGCTTCCTCTTCTGAAATATGGTTGATATAATTATATGTGCATAATTGCATATAACAAATCAATATTTATAATGAATTAATCCAACCATTTGTCTAGGAACTTGATTGGGAGTCAATTGCTGCTGGATTACTTCATGACACGGTTGAAGACACAGATGTTGTGACTTTTGAGAGGATAGAGGAAGAATTTGGTGCTACGGTGCGCCGCATTGTGGAAGGAGAGACCAAGGTATTTTGGTAACCTTGATTGTAATTTATTAATGAAACATTATATAATCGTCAGTAGCTTTGGTACCATATTCATATGTTTGCTACATACATACATTGGATTCACATTACATTCTCAATCCCAACTAGGTGTCAAAGCTGGGAAAGTTGAAGTACAAGAATGAAAAAGATTCTGTTCGGGATGTGAAAGCAGAGGACCTACGGCAAATGTTTCTGGCTATGACTGAGGAGGTGACCTCTTTTACATAAAAGTTGCTGTCTTTTTCTTTTTTTGAAAAAGTTACTTGTCACTTCCCAGTGTACTACAGTATGTTGAAATTGGCTTGGCAACTAATGAGTTTGTCACTGCAGGTTCGTGTTATTATCGTCAAATTAGCAGATAGGTTACATAACATGCGCACTCTATCACACATGCCTCCACATAAACAGGTAAGTTCCATTGATTTGAATAATCTACTGGTGACTCGTTATCATTCCTTTGCCACAAATAAGGAAACTAATATGGCCTTCCATTCCAATCCTTTTACTTTTAAATAATACAAAAGTGCCCTCACTAGGGCCGCTCAAACGTATTTTGAAGCCTAAAGTGAAAACTTAGATAGAACTAACAACATTTATAATTTTTTTTTATATATTTAAAGCATGATTATTATTTATTAATTATAATTGATGTAGTATTTTTTTGTTGTGTGTAAACAATTGCAGAGCTTGATCAAACTCTTTAAGTAGGCCATAATGGTTAAGTGATGTAATCAGATTATGCGTCCAACTAATTATAGCATTTTAACTTTTAAGCATGAATATAGGTGTGAGCTGTTCTTTATTGATAAAATGCTATGGCGCGAAGGTTAGTTTTTTAGTTCGAATCAAGAGTCGTTGTGCTTGATTCCATTGAGAGGTATCCTTTTATTGTGGAAATAATTTGTTCCTCGCAAAAAGAGGAAACTGAGATATGTTGGATTCGATCCCGTGACCAAGGACTTAGTAACAAACGCATTGTTACTGCTGCGCTGTTGCCAAATATGTGATTAGTGGTGGGACTTTTGATATATAATGAAAATAGGACTAAGTTTAGAGTTCTAAATGATATAAAATGAGGCCTAAAACTTCACTTGCTTTAGTCTAGGGCCGGTCCTAAGCCTTGCAGACACACAGATTAAGAATTTTGATAGAAATGTTGCATATGAGCAACATCTGTTGTCACTAACCTTTAAACTACGAGTCATATATCCATTTAGGTTACTTGCCATTAATCTTCAATGCCTTGAAACTGGAAGTGAATTGCATTTCTTTTACGAAGAGCTGTCCATTTCTCTTAGTAGCTTTTATTGCTTTTTGTTAATATCCCGAATTTTGTAAAAAAAAAAAAAAGCGACAATGTCAAAAAAAAAAAAGCGACAATGTCAAAAGTACTCAATGAGCCTTTTTTGGGTATTTGTTTTCTCTCTTAGTTTTGCCATTTTAACATGTTGTGTATATAAATTGGGTTGAGTTTGTGATGAGCCTTGCTTCTAAATTCGTTTTCTAACTTTAGTATGCTGTGTACAGGCTAGCATTGCGATGGAGACATTACAGGTATTTGCTCCTTTGGCAAAGTTGCTTGGAATGTATCAAATTAAGGTATGGTATAATTACAGTTGCCAAGGCTAAGGACTTGCATGCATGTCGTCTTGTTCCTACAATGCCACAAGTCCACATAAATAGACTAGAGCTCATGATAGAAATACTTATTTTCAACATTATTATAAAATACATGTATTTCATGATACGGAGGAAATTATCTTAGATCCTGCTTCTTTATTATACTTTTTTTTTATGTTGCAGTCAGAACTAGAAAACCTATCATTTATGTACACAAATGCTGAAGATTATGCGAAGGTGAAGAGAAGAGTTGCCGACTTATTCAAAGAACATGAGAAAGATCTTTTAGAGGTAGTGCTGGTCTGCCTATGTTAATTTTTTGTTAAAATAGACAAGTAGATAAGTTATTACTGCAATGCCACCTCTCTATATGTTCATTTATTAAACCTTTTTTTGGGTGATTGTGCATCATTGCATTCCAGTGATTAAACTTCTTTCTTCTCCATTTCTTGATAGGCAAACAAAATATTGTTAGAGAAAATCCAAGATGATCAATTCTTAGACCTTTTGACAGTTAAAACGGAAGTTCGTGCTGTGTGTAAAGAGCCTTACAGGTTAATCCATGATACTCAGTGCCACTGCAACCATTCTGTTTATCCACCTGTTCACATTAGCTGATTTGTTTGATATCACATACATTTAGGTACTTCTTTCACTGACTACTAATTGAGAAATATTATTGATTATTTGCAGTGTCTATAAAGCTGTGCTCAAATCTAAAGGTTCGATCGATGAGATTAACCAAATTGCACAGGTTCTCATATATCTGACCAATGTATTGTAAAGAATTTGAATAAATGTGCTTTTTTATTGAGTTATCAACTGTTTGATGTATCCAGCTACGTATCATTATTAAACCAAAGCCAGGCATTGGAGTTGGGCCTTTATGCAGTCCGCAGCTGGTAACCACTTACCATATTGACATATGATTTTTCTCCACTTGCTCTACCTTTTACTTGGTATATCAAAGGCCTTTCTCTCATTTTCATGTTTTCTGCAGATTTGCTATCATGTTCTAGGGCTGATCCACGGAATCTGGACCCCAAATCCTAGATCTGTACGTATGTTGTTTTTTATTCTATTTAGAATACATAGTATTAGTTAAGAGTAACATATTTTCATTGACTGGTGAGAAATTTTTGGTTTAGTAAGAAATATTCAATTTACTTCTTAACTGTAGATGAAAGACTATATTGCAACCCCTAAACCAAATGGGTACAAGAGTCTTCATAGCACTGTGATTCCGTTTTTGTATGAGAGTATGTTCAGGCTTGAAATCCAGGTAGACTTTATTTGGTTATTTCAAAAAGAAAATTTTGCATGTTCCATTTTCATCAAGGAATTTTCCCTACTGCCCTAGCTGATCCAAATGAAGTTCACCTCAAAGTTTTCTAATGAGTTTATCCTCTTCAATTGATTTTTGTAGATTAGAACAGAAGAAATGGATTTGATAGCTGAGAGGGGCATTGCAGCTCATTATAGTGGGAGAGAATTTGTTACTGAGTTGGTTGGAAGTGCAGTGCCCAGAAGTAAAAGCTCAAGGAGGAAGACAGCGTGTCTTAGCAATGCCAACATTGCACTCAGAGTATGCTATCTATCCTTGATTGCTTATGATAGAAATCATGTTTTAAAGAGAAAGCTTAGTATAACTATTACTGAACTTTAATGCTATTACGCTGTTGGTCTTGGCTTTGCACGAAAAATTAAGATCTCGGTGCTTATTTCATGAGCCTTTTCTACAGATTGGCTGGCTCAATGCTATTAGGGAGTGGCAAGAAGAGTTTGTTGGCAACATGAGTTCTAGGGAATTTGTGGACACTATTACAAGAGATCTTTTGGGCAGTCGTGTCTTTGTATTTACACCCAGGGGAGAGGTAAGGTGGATTATGTCATATACTACACGGCTATTTTCTTCATCCAATTTGCTGAAGATAATTAAGAATGCTAATTCAGAAATTATACCATCTACAGTTTTGTGACACTTCTTTTTTTCACCATATTTTTGTTTAGATTAAGAATCTTCCTCAAGGTGCTACAGTAATTGATTATGCTTATATGATACACACTGAACTCGGCAACAAGATGGTAGCTGCAAAGGTATCACCATTTTCATACTGATGGAATTAAGTGTCGGTCAGTAAAAGACAGATACAAAGCAAAACCATTTTTATTATTGTATTCTTGAGACATTTGGTTTAATGCAGGTCAATGGCAATGTTGTTTCTCCTGCGCGCGTGCTTGCTAATGCAGAAGTTGTAGAGATAATCTCATATAATGTCAGTATTGTTAAACTCGCCCCATATATTTGCTATTTGGATTGATGGATCTGATGCAGCTGGAAAGTATAAAAATAAAACGTTTTTTTCTAAAATGTGCAACCTTGCACATGTATGGATTATATTAAGTGCCCAATTTTCACATGTTAATTACTCGCTTTCCTATTGATTTTAAAGATTTAACATGTCCGTAATCTTTCTCTTGCCACAAAAAAAAGGGTAATTAAAAAGATAAAAAGTGGGTAATTAGTGATCCTTATTATTTATCATGTGAAAGGTTGCACATATTAAAAAACCCCAAACACAAATCTAATTTGCAAGGTGTGATGTTAAACAAGTTATACGATTCATTGCCTACGGTTATTAAGTTTCAGATTTATTACCTAATCACGAGCTGTCAAATATTTTGGGTATTAAAATCTGTATATTCACTAACATTCTATTTTAGAATATGAATATCTCAGAATGTTATGAAAGTATTTTTGAATATCTTAGCATATCATGATAATATATTTGTAATATCTTATTGTATCTTTAAAATATATTAAGGTATGAGTTATCCATATCATTAAGGAAGCAACTTTAGAGATTTATTTCATTTTCATTGTGTTTATTTTCTTTATTAGGATTTAGAAGTCTTGTTGACATTGTGTTAGTGGCTTAGGTTTGACTAGTAATATTATGCTAGTATAAGGAAATTATTCCAGCTTTCATATTTACATAAGTTTTCATAAATGGTCTTTTGAGTTAGCAAAATATCATATATATTCACCTTTCACTTTATTGGAGCTGATAACTTTGTTACCAGGCACTTTCCAGCAAATTGGCTTTTGAAAGGCATAAAGAGTGGTTGCTACATGCTAAAACACGGAGTGCGAGACATAAAATAATGAAGGTAGGTCACATGAGAAGTTTTGAGCATGGTTCGCCAACTCCTACAAATTTTATGCTATATCTATATTTTAAACATTTTATACTTTTTTTGTAGTTTCTGAAGGAACAAGCTGCACTTTCTGCTGCTGATATCACTACAGAAGCAGTTAATGACTTTCTAAGTGATTCTGACAGAGATAGAGAATCTGAAAAGCTGTCAAATGGTTCCAGTGGTTCTAAAGATAAGAGCCGGGAAATATTATTGAACGGTGTGGAAATATCAACTTCAGAAAGAAATGAGACTGTCCTCCAGAGTAAGAATGGAAGTGCCTGGACCCCTAAGCTCAATGGAAAACGCAATAAGCACGTGCATCATCTAAGTTTGAATGGCAAAGGGGACATGATCCTGCAGGGAAACCATGTTGCCAATATGATTCAAGTTAACAATCCAAAATACAAAGAAGTCCTGCCAGGTTTAGAAAGATGGAAAGCCCATAAAATTGCCTCGTGGCACAATATAGAAGGACACTCCATCCAATGGTTATCTATAGTATGCATAGACCGAAGAGGTAAGCTTCCTGATCTTCCATGCCAGTAAAATGGATGTTATGCACATTGTGGCCAATGAACTATTCGATAACTGCATTTTTTCAACTTCAATAATAATAGAAGTAAAATGATATTATAGGAATATATCCACTGGGTAAGAGCATGACTTAATGATAGGATGGTGAAATGAATGTCAATACACATTGCTTCTTTAACTGTTGCTATTCCATATAGTAATTAAACTCTTAAGCAACACATTAATTCACTATCTTGGTTTTAAAATTGTAAACCATTATTTTAGGCATGATGGCGGAGGTCAGTACAGCATTGGCCACAGCAGACATAACCATATGTTCTTGTGTGGTGAGTGGTTAAACCAAGTCCCCATAAATTCTACTAAACTCAAATATAGGATGATGCCTTTGACATTATACAAGTACTAATTTATTTTGACTTATCAAAATGACCAGGCTGAGATTGATCGAGGAAGGGGAATGGCTGTTATGCTATTTCATGTAGAAGGAAATTTAGAAAATTTGGTACTGTATCATCTCTAACCCTGGTTTTGCTTGATTCTTACTTTGTGATCATTGTTTCGTTCACGGTCAACTTACACGGCTAATTTGTTCCTCAGGTGAATGCTTGCTCTAGAGTAGATCAAATACGGGGTGTTTTGGGATGGTCTACTGGCTGCAGCTGGCCAAGCTTGATGGAAAACAATGGTGTTCTCGAATGCTAGATGATTTGATTTGGTTGCAGTTGCACTATATGCCATGTTCACTACAGTTTGTCCAAAGATTGCAGATCAGATCTTGAACTAAGTTTTGTCCGCAGAAGCGCAGACATTTATATGTCTAAATTTTGGTTGGTTTTATAGTTCTCTCATATATTTGTTCCAATTCACTAACCCAATAAACCGGCAGCATCCAGCCAATTGAGCCAAAGTCTCAGAAACTCGAAACTGAAGGCATTGTTGTATATAGAAAAGAGTGATAGGATAAAGGAGTATACACTGTAAAGTACTTGTGCAGCATTTACACAAGGAGCTTGCTAGGATATCTTTACTTTAATTCCATTTCTACCAAACGTGTGATTAAGTACTCGGTATAATGGCATTCTTAATAGGGTAGGTACTCGGTATAATGGCATTCTTAATAGGGTAGGGTCAGCAGACGAGCATTCTGAATTCTTTCTTTTCTTTTTTTACTTGTAAAAAGTTCCATATCTTTTATATACATAATTTTAGTTTATTGAAATGCGGTTTCTCAGAATATATTTTCCTCCATTATCATATTCCGGTTTTGTAATCCAACTGGTAATAGCAATGTCCATTTCAAAAACTCATTAAAAAAGAACCAATATATTGATCCTAACTCAAAACATAACATACATCTATATATGTTTTTCTGACATTATATATTTATATATGTTGATCCTTTCTGTTTGAAAAATAACATTGATCCTAAATTCACTTCATGGGACTATTATGGAGTCATCGTCATCATGAACATAAAGAGATTCCAGTAGGCCACTGGTCAGCGCAGCTAGGAGCATTAGAAATCCTAGCATCAGCACGGGCATAACCCAGGTTGCCAATATTGATGGTTGAACATTCTGTGCGACAGGGAAACTTGCTGTTTTGTTCCACATTGCTTCTTTTGGCGCTGTCTTGTTTAGAGCATAGTAGGAACCATCATCTGCGTATAGGTCACTGCATTCATCGCATTCACAGTAGTATTTCTTGTATTTATGTTCTATCAGCTCCTCATTGTCATCAATGGAAGTGGTCTCTGTTGCTTCTGAGCTATCTTCTTCCACAGTCTCCTCCGTAGCATCATCAGAGTCCATGTCATCATCCTCATCATCAGTTTCCGTTAATGTTATTGGGCTATCTTCAGATTCACCTTTCTTTTCCTCTTGTTCACAGTCACCGGAGTTGTTAAACAATGTAGAACTTTCTTCTGCAACCATATTTTCGTTTGAAGATGTCGCACTTTCTGGCTGGGAATAGTCGGAGAAGGCAATTTCCTGATGGTGAAAGCAATCACTATTGGGTTCATTGTCAATTTTCTCCTCCTGAACCAAATTCAACATCCAAGTTAGAGCCAATATATATTGAAAACTCTCACAAATAAAGATGCATGAATCACCAGAATCAAGGGTTGCAACCCGGAGGAATCATCTGTCTTGGCACACTCATTTAATGTCAAACAGCTGCAACAACAACCGACACATGTTAACGTTGCATTAAAATGGAACATGACAAAGTCACATGCATAACTTAGGTGTGGTATTTATTAAATAATTATTTTATCATACGATGTGACATCCTCCCCGAATTGGTTTGTTGAATATTGAAGAGAGTCTTTCTCATCATCATCCAATAAAGATTGTTGGTGAGGATGAATGCTTTTTTTCTTATGTTTTTTGGTTCCAAAAGAAGTCACAGCCATTAAACCTGCAATGGCCAAGGCTCCACCAAACACAAGAAGTCCAGTAATTCCACTTTCACCACCAATAGTTACGCTTCTTCCTAAAGAAGTGTTTGTTTTCCTTTTTCCATCTCTGTTTGTCCTTTCGTCTTCCATCCTTCATAGAAAAAGCAAAGCCAAGAGATGAAGTTTATTTATCATCTTATCTTATAAATAATAAAAGGAAGTAGATCAAGATGGTGCATGCAGAGTGAGACAGAATCGGGCTTCTTCTTCATTTTGTTCGGATTCATTACATGGTATCTGATGAGGTCTCCCACATGTTGAAAATGAGAGACACGTGTTTGGATATGGCCCATGTTTTGTTTTTATTAACTCACCGCAATTGTAGTTCGAGCAAAACACTTACGAATCGATAACATGTGGCTACTACAATTTGTTTGGTATTGAAGTTATGTGACTTAATGGTGCCAAGTATGCACTAGACAGAGTAAGAGTCATGCACCATCCGTGATTACTGTTTCATGGCTCATCAACTTGTCCTACTTCCTATATCTACCAAAGTAAAATAGAGAATATCTATTTATTTGGATCGAAAGAGATTTAGATTTTGAATATTGAAAAACGAATGAAGCGGAGTAGAATGAAATAAATATGTCATTTAATTATTTGGATATTTTATTATAGAATAAAACAATTTTGTCATTTCGTTTAAATCAAAAGATACAAAAATGATGAAAAATAATTGAATATGATGGAATGCATTTCATTCGTATCTGATATATTTCATTATTTTTTTAGTTAATCCAAACAATGTAACATAAATTTATATAATTTCATTTCATTATATTTTATCTCATCCATCCAAACATACTCTAAATGCATACGCAATAAATTTTCACCATGCATTCATATTGATAATAATCTCAGTGAATTCCCTTATTCTATAGGTCCACTCGTCTCTAAAGGGATCTCTTATCAATTTCTTAACTTAAGTCATTCAACTTCATCCTACATGTGTACATTTACACAATAGAACAATGACTTATACATCTAAGAGAGTTTACGCTTCGTATGGAAAACACATAACAAGAGTTCACATAACTCAAGAATCACTATTCGGAAGCACTAAACATTGTTCCCCGATCGGACCTACGTTTAGGCAAGGTTCGGTTCACGCATGTTCGTATGATTCAACTTTTTTATGGATTCAGATTTTTCATGGGACTCGAATCCACTTCAAGAATTGTCACTCGTATGAGACTCGAACCCACTTAGAGTATTTTTCACCGTAAGAGACTCGGACACACTTAGGCGTCCACCTCTCCTCCATGGATTCAATTCATAGTTGGGACTCAAACCCATTATGAGGCACAAATCATTGGTGTCGCATCCCCAATTCTACTTTACATAAGCATCTCAATTGGGATATGCACGATCAAGGGTAACTTCCGAATACGTGACTAGCTCTCAACAATCACCACATGATTATTCTCATCAAACACCATGTAATCATATCATAATGTATCACAATTACCATATGGTTCTATCACAATAACAATATATATACAATGCGTTTTCATATAAGCTAGTTCAATTCACAATTGGATCATCGTTAACCATCCATGCCATCTGGCACTTTTCGTAAATGGAACGATCCATCTCTAGCACCTACTCGTTCATGGATGCACACTAAGACACCTCTTACATTCGAGCATTGCAACCTAAGTTATCTTTCTAGTTCATTCACCTAGTTACAAATCTAGGTTTCACCTTACTTAATATCACGTGTTTTAATCAATTATTGTTCATTCAATGCAAACATATCACATCATACATATACTTTATCTCATCATAATGTTATACATAAAACACATAACATACTATGATTCATAAAGCATGCATGATAGTTCAAACATCATTAATCAAGCCATACATAGCATTCACATATGGTTTCTTCACAAGTTATCCAATTAACTTGCTAATCAAGCATTAGGCGAAGCTTTCATGTAACTAGTTCAGCCTAAGCTAATCCACTTACACGCCACATAGTGAGTGCTCGTCCGATCCTCCTATGGTAGGGTTAACCGAATTTAACGGGGGAAAATAAAGTGGAAACAAAATCATAAGACTCCCCTATTTTATATCTCTATGCATTAACTTCCAAACACATTCAACCTCTCATCAATCAGAGCTACCATTCTCGTTTTATGGTGGAAACAAGGAATGTGGTATTTAACAAACTTTAATCTCGTCATATCATACATGATAGTTTATCATCATTATCCTATAACCATTGTCATAAAAATCTTGTTTTTACTTCATCATCTATTAGATCATTGAAACAGCTTTCTAACGCAACTGACCGCACCTTATTCCGAGTTATAGAACTTAGGTTATGATGAAAACATGGTTTTGAACATAATTTGTCTTTCTGATTTGAATCGAGTGTAAACCGTGATTCAAATCAAATCACTCAATGGCTACCTATAAGTGATTGATTCAAATCAAATTCACAGCATAAATCTTCTAATTTGAATTAAATTAGTCAGAATTGCTTTTCTGCAGAGTTTTTGCTTCTTGATTCAAATCACACCCTGAAATTTCCAGATTTTCATTTGTTCTTCATGATTTTCTCAATCCAAAGATATGGGAACTCATACTATCAAACCTTAACATCAATTAATATCTTTAGAAAATTTTGAATTTTTTGGTCCGTTACAGGGGGTTAATCGATTAACCATTTGGTAGTACAAATGCGTTAACTGATTAACACTAAAGCAGTATGTAAAAATACTTTGTTTTTTTCAGCCAAATGATTTTCAAATATGGTTTTTGAAGCATGGAAACATTTCATTGATTGCACTCATATAAATAGGTGCATTGTGTCTATATAAACACCTTTATTTTCAGAGTGAAACTAAATATTTCATACATTTAAATTTTCTCCTCATCTTTCAAAAATTCTCTAAGTGCTCAAAACCAAAATTTTAAGAGTGAAACTTTCTGCACTTAACCTTCATTTAAAAAGCATTCTAAGTTTCATTCCATATAACATTGAACACTTGTATATCATTGATAATTTGTTTATTCACAGGAGAAGATCAATCGATAGATTGATAAGTATATTCTACATATCACTCTTGTAAAAATTCAATAACTCTTGTTGTATCACATCTTATTTTTCCATAATTGTTGGATATAAGATTGTGTAGTTGTTATCCTTGTTGTCCAGGTTGATGGAAATAAGAGGTTCATTTTGAGAGGATTGTTCTCATTTGAACTTAGTGAAAATTCCAAGAGGATT